TGGGTTACAGACCACAGCAATGTGGTGGGCAGGGGCGGATCCAGGATTTGGAAAGGGGGAGGGGTTAACCAAACACACGACTTCACTGAAAGTACTCCGGAGTCGTTTCTGATATAATAAATTAATAATATAGTATCACACGACTAGCTCTAAGGGGGGGGGGCTTGAGCCTCCGAAGCCCCCCCTCCTGTGGACACGCCGCTGGTGGTGGGCAACCAAGAAGCGCACAGACTAGCCAAAGTGACGATCACCACTTGTGACCATCAACACACTAAAGTAAGCTATAGGAACTACCATCATGGCCAAGCGGCAAGAGACGTGGCGATACCACGAGGACTGCGCTACAGCTCGAAGACTGTGGCCTGTGATAGATAGCAAAAAAACAAAACAACTACTAGAGCACAAAAAGAACCTAGTAGGTACGCATAATTGTAGGTGCCACGCTGCCATCAAGTGGTGGATGCAGGTCTCAACCTACAATTTCCACTCGCGTCGATCTTCACTTTTTTCCGCTTTTTCGCAGCGACTTCCAAATATTATCTACCCAACATCTAATGGCTCTACGTCGCGGTATGGCTGGCTCATGCCTACTATTTTTGATCTTCGAATCTCTTTGTTGCTTTCGGTCCTAATTTCTCGAAGTATTAGCGAGCATGACACATTTCAGGGTCATTTGTGTGACTCATTGATTGTACCTTTCTGCACTGTGTTCTTTAAAGGCTACTGTTTCCATAACATATCTCACCACAGGAGAAACACAAGAGTCTTTGCATTTTAAATTTATACAGGGTCCGGCAATAGTGCGTCGGGCATCTGTAGCTCCTAAAATAAAAAAAATTGTAAGTCTTGTTTAAGTGCAATCCTAAAGTATGTACCAGGATGTATTTCAGGAAAATATTTTTACTTCTATAGGGTGGCTCAAAAAAATGTGAGTGGATCTGGATGATTTTTTTTAAATTGAGCACCCTGTATATTATTGCATTTTTGGCTTCCTTTCTGATCACTTGACATAATCGGAAGATATGAGTAAATATATTTCGATAGTTTCAGAGATATTAAAAAATAAATTAAAAATATATATTTTTCAACCCTTCTTAAAAAAATTATTAAAAACACAAGAACTGTTCTGAAATTAAAACTATATTAGGTATTTACTTTAGATAGTTTGTTACTTTACTATAAATATGGTAATCGTAAATCATACTGGATGTTCAATATTCTACGCCAAACTTTCTAAAATAGAAAATATCTTTTCTTTGTTTTTTTAAATAGTATATTATATTATATTTTTGTATATGTGTATATTATATGTATACACAATTATATATTATATGTACACACCCTGTATATTATATTTTTGTTATATGGAGAGTTAAAAAATAAACATTTTTTGTATTTAAAGTATTTCAACATTTTTAATAGTTTTGCAGATACACGCAGTATTATTTCATATGGCGAATTCAATGGTAAAATACGAGAGAAAAATTATTGGGTGGCTTTGATAAAAATTTACTGTGGAAAATGCCATATGGAAATAAAACCGCGAATATCTGCAAAACCGTTAAAAATTTTGAAATACTCTAAATACAAAAAATGTTCATTTTTTAATTCTCCACCTATTGAAAAAATAATCTACAGGGTGTTCCATTTAAAAAAACGAAGAAACATTATTTTATATTTTAGAAAGTTTGGCGTAGAATTTTGAACATCCTGTATGATTTACGATTTCTATAATTATAGCAAAGTAAGTACAGACCATCTAAAGTAAATACCTAATATAGTTTTGATTTCAGGACAGTTCTTGAATTATTAATAATTTTTTTAATAAAGAAAGGCTGAAAAATTTTTTATAATTTGTATTTATTTATTAATATCTCTGAAACTATCAAAATATATTTTCTCATGTCTTAGGATTATGTAAAGTGATCTGAAAGGAAGCCAAAAATGCAATAATATACAGGGTGTTTCATTTAAAAAAACTAATCCTGATCCATTCACACTTTTTTGAGCCACCCTATAGAAATTAAAATATTTTCCTGAAATACATCCTCGTACATACTTTAGGTTTACACTTAAACAAAATTTCCAAGTTTTTTTTATTCTAGGAGCTTCAGATGCCCGACGCACTATTGCCGGTCCCTGTAAAGATATCTGATTTTTTACGATTCATAATTTTTAAATTCCTAATATAGCCTTTGATCGCAGCACCATATATTAGAAGCAATAACCTAGCTTAAGGGGTCCAGATGCATCTGAACTCACTTAGACAAATATCAGTAGGCGCGTGTAAGTTGCGGAGGTGGGCATTATAAATTTGGAAGTATAATTAGAGGAAAAAGTTAGAAGTTCATTAACTTTTTCTACTAATTGAAAATTACTAACACTAATATATTCCACCAATTTCGAGGTTCTGAACGAAGCTACAAATGTGTTTTATAATTTTCCCATTAGTTTTTTTTAATTCTCATTCTGTCTATCCATCGGAACGAGTATAAAAAGTCCGTAACAAAAAGTATCTGTACCATACTGTTCTGTGAGAATTCCGTGACATTTTCCTCATATAACAAATAAAGTTAAATAATCCTGGTTTCATTAATTTAAGTTGGATTTATAAACACCCCAAGTTGAATTTTGGCTGAAGTTCACTTGACACTGACAAATGAAATGGAAATGCGAAATGTAATGGACTTAAAGTCACTTCAACAAAATGTTGCAAACTCATTTTATGTTTGGAAAAGTTCAGAAATAGAACATTGTTTAATTTTATAAGTTAGAAATACGCGTTATAGTCAATACGTAATTAGGCGAAAACAAGACATTTTCACCGAATAATCAAAATTCAATTAAGGAAATTAACAAATTTAGATATACATAATTGTTTAAACATTTAATATCGTGTAATATAGTATTTTTGTAGAGAAAGAGATAAGTAAGTTTACCAGTCCAATATCGGCAGCATGTACGAAATAGCTTGAAGCAAAATTAAGGACTAAATTTAAGGCACCACATCGTAGTGTGAATTGGTTGTTAGCACAGATGATATTGAATTTAATTAAACAGAAAGAAAAACATACGAAAAACTGTTTGCTCAAAACAATAATCCTTCATACAAATTTTTGTAGTGGTCATATTCAACACTGCATACTATTTTATAAGGTCATGTTGCACGGCGACAGGCAATGCAGACTAGCAAGGAATCAGATAGAGTAGGCAGATATAATTGAACTAACCCGCCTATGAGTGAAAGAATACCCAGAAAAACGTAGATTTTTAGAGCCAGAAATGTTGAATGGCACCCTCCGCGAAGCATGTTCGTCTATGTGCAACTTACAGTACTGTGAAAAAAGGCGCCAGACGATTAAAACTGATCTTTATGACAAATCACTGCAGAACGTAACTTACCCACTGATTCCTGATTTTTCCAATTATACTTTTATGCACGTGGAATACTAGACAAAATACAGAATTTTACATTACAGACAGGGGGTCTTAAATAAGTGCAAGTAACCTCTAGGGGTATTATATTACCCCAGAAACACGATTATGAGGATATTATTTGGAAAAAAAAAATTAGAATTTTTTCAGTTTTTAGTTAAAAAACTTAATTTCTTAATAATATGGCAACATAGATAGTAAATTAAATTTACAAGAATGAAAACCCAGAAAATATGTGGTTCTCATTTCCAAAGCTCGGTTATTTTGGACTTATTTGAAAAACGGCAAAGAGAGAATATGTTATTATTTTATCGAGATCTACCAGCTCTGAAAATATTTGCACTTATTTAAGACTTATCCTGTATAACCATTAGCAAATATTAAGTACCCCAAAGAAATGGCTTTTTGGCTTCAAATTAATTAGAACAAAATACTTAGTTTTAGTGGAAGAATAGAACGATATATTAGGATGGAAGCCTAAAATAAATACACACTGGTGAAACAAGATACTCTAAATAAACGGAAATTGCTAAGAAATCGTCTGATGAATTGAACTGAACTTACATTAGCATATACACATAACTGAAACTTATTACGGAAACATCTCATATAGAACTTTAAACATTTCAAAAATAATGCAAGAATAAAAAATAATTTGAATATTTCTGTCCAACATTTGTAGCACATTGTTCCATTAGTCAATGATGCCCCAGGATCGCAATTGAAAAGGATAATCGACATTAATATTTGAGTAAGGTGTTACTAAAGAACATAAGTGACAGTCGGTAAGTACCACGGTCGCTCACTACGATCGCATTATTTATTTAAATATTAATATTTACTTATCTAAAAAGAGAGACAAACAAGCTACCGCCGCGACGAAGGCAATAGAAAACACCTTGAGTAATATTTTAAAAGTTCAACCTCATAATTAGTAATACGTAGTAGCTTAGCTTGGGCATAAGGTTAAGGGTTTAAGGGTTAAGTCCCGAGTCCCGGGTACTCCCTTAAAACTAGTGACTGACATGATGGACGTGCGACAATTCGGCAATAATCTCTATACAGCACTACAGTGTACGAACACTTAATAAATAACATGCAATACAGGAAGACTGATTACAATTGCCGATCTGTAATTACTAATTACAGATTTGCAATTTGCATTTTCTTGCATTTTGTTCGTTTTTAAAGAAAAAGCATTGTTGCCAAACAAGCAGCAGGTTTTGCATTTGGCGAACAACTCAGGTGACTGAAATTGCCATAATTATTGGAACAAATAACAAAGCTTGAGTGACTGATGATAGCCAAACTGAAAAAAATACATAGTTACGTAAAAATTTAAAAAAAATAATATTTAAAATAATTGACGAATACTTGAATATTTTTGCATATTTTGGCAAAATTTCATGCATTTAAATGCGCATAATATTGCCTTTTTAGTTTGCATTTTTCCCTTGCCTTCTTAATAATATTTTTATACATTTCTGGCGGCATTTATCGAAGAGTCTGTGATATTATCATTCACAGTCTATAATGTATATTTAGATATTAAAAACAGTACTTACCTATCGCGATATCTATCACCTCCCCCGTAAGTCGACGACCTCAAATATCCAGTATCGCACGTCGTGCACCTTTTCTCCAGCGATCCGTTTCCCTTAACGTTTCGCCCATCGTCCGTGTTATCTTCAGGTTTCAGTGATCTCACATTCGTTTTCGTACTCGCACCGAATCTGTCGGAATAATATTTACTACCTGAAAAAAAAATGAAATAACTATACTATACAGGGTGGAGCACCTCATTCGCATCGATTGATTATGCGAAAACGGAAAGATGTAGAAACTAAAATATTTTATGGGTATATGTGGAGAGGCAATGTGCACAATTTAAAATTATTTTGGAATATACAGGATGTTTCAGAACTAAGATCTGTACCAAAGTTATATTTTTTCTTACGGAACACCCGGTATTTTAATTCATTTTTGGATTCTTGGGCCCAAAAAAAATATTTATTATATCGTTAAATATGTTTAACATCTTTGGTTTTGAGATATTTAAATATGCATGTTACAATAAAATTGATTATCATCACCCTGTACATTACTTTTCAGAATTAATTTTTGTGTTGAGTTTAAAGGTAGAGAAATAAACTTTACTGAAAATTTTTATTGCTTCCTTAAATTTATACAGAAGTACCAAAAATTGCCGATCTATTATAAATATTTATTTTACATAAAATTTTTGTTATTTCAAATGCAACACACTGTATTTCTTAAAACAAATCGAAGCAGATTTAAGTGCTCTTTCGAACTATATTAGAGTTTCCTATACTTAGATTTTAAATAAAAAGCGATTTTTCAATAAAATGGAAATCAAGATGGCTGGTGTCGCCATGAACTATTTTCAAAATCGACATTAGTTTACGGACATTATTGTTTAGATTTATAACAGTTTACTTAAACTTACCTACAATAGTTTATTAAGTAAGTATATTGCTCAAGAAAAATAAAGCAGTATCTGCTGGCGGAACGAATGGAGAGATGTTACTAGTGATTTTATTTTATGAGGAAAATTGCTTTTTGGTCTTAAGGGCTTATGCTCACAGATATTCCAAATAGGAATCTTCCTTATAAGCTTTCCTGTGAAAAACTACTTGTCCTATTTCGCAGAGGTGGTAGTGTGGTTTATAGAAAACGTATTAGGCAGAAACCTGTCGTTGGAAGTGAACAAAATGAATTTGTTGTAATTGGCTCTTTTATAGAAAATCCTATCTAACCGAACTCAAAGAACTACTTCTTCGTTTTCTTCGATAGGATAATAAATACGTACATATTTAATAAATATTATTTGTTAAACTCTCGTAGGTAAATTAAATAAAAGTAACCTGTTACAAATTTAAATAAATAATAAAATCCATAAAGTAATTTCGATATTAGAAATAGCTACTAACTGTCACTAGAAACTTGTCATGACCACATAATCGACCGTCTCTGTTGGCATTTTATTGAAAAATTGCTCTTTATTCAAAATGTGAGCTAGATAGGTATAAGAAACCCTAATATAATTTGAAAGAGCATTTGAATCTGCTTCCATTTGTTTACAAAAATATAAGGTGTTGCTTTTGAAACAACGAAGTTTTTATGTAAAACAAATATTTAAAATAGACCAGCAATTTTTGATACCCCTGTATACATTAAACGAAACAATCAAAATTTTAAGTAAAGTTTATTTCTCTGGCTTAAAAGTCGGCACAAGAATTAATTCAATGGACAGGGTGTTGACAATTTTTTTTATTATAGCAGGCATATTTAAATATCTTTTAATATTTCAAAAACCAAAGCTTGTAAACATATTTACCCCTTATAATAAATGCCTTATTTTGTGTCCAAGGATCCAAATATGAAATAAAATACTAGGTATTCTATAACAAAAAATATAACTTTGTTGTTAATCTTAGTTTTGACATACCCTGAACATTTCAAAATAATTTTAAATTATGCACATTGCCTTCCCACATGACATATACCCATAAAATATTTTGTTTCTACATCTTTCCGTTTTCGTATAATCAACAGAGGCGAATGAAATGCTCCACCCCGTATAGAAATATAATAAAAAAAAATAAAATAAATATTTACTATCTCTTGCTTTCCGAATGATAGTGGATTCACTTTCATCTACTGGAATCTCTATGTGTTCTGTAAAAGTGGCTCCATCCTCAGGATTAACTTCAGCCTTGCGAGGTACACGCACGATGTCCAGTTCAATGTTTTGAGTTGACTGGGGCAGCGAAGAGAATACATCTTTGAGAGTCGTCGATTGGACCAGATGGAAGGTTAGTATGAATGGTATTGTACAGATGAGATTTGAGTTCTGAAAAGAATTTACCAGGTAGTAAAAACTTTTAAATTACAAATGGGTGTTGGGCACTTAAGTGTTATTATAACAGTATAATAAAACACTAATTCACAACAATAAACCAAAACAATTTACTTCTAATACTGGAAACGCATTTTACTAACCGCGTTAGCATCATGGATGGTTAGCGAAAAGCCTGTATGTAAAAACGTAAAGTAGCGAAACGCCAGTGTTAAAAGTAAAGTAATTTGGTGTATTGTGGTGAATTAGTGTATTCAAAATAAAAAAAATATAACTTTGCTCACTCACAAAAACTAAATCATGCCGAACATATTATAATAAAATAAACCAAACAGAACCTTCTAAATATTCAAAAAAATATATTAACCACTAGAAAAAGGTGAAACTTTTATCAAACTTTCGAAATCATCTAAATGTTTAGTCTTCTTCTATAGGAAGATATTTACCAGTAAAACAATTGATTAGTCTATCACTCTAGTTTTTGCGAACAAATTTATTGCATTAGTTTAAATGTTTTTAATGTTATTAATTTTAGCTAAAATTAGTATTTTTATGGGTTTCATAAATATGCATGGCAGGAACAAACTCGCTGCTTATTGTCCTTAACTAGTAGGTACCCAAACTATTTTTGTTTTAATAAAAATAGTCGGCTGATGAAATGCCGGGTGTAGAACCCACAACCTTGAGATTGGTAGACGAGACCCTGTACCTCTACGCTACCGGGCACCAAGAATGCCAAATATCTCTAAATAAGAATATTTAGTGGCACTATCGACCTACGTTCAATGCATATTTTGTTTTAAAGAAATTAGTAAAATTGCGATACAAAATTCTGGACACGCCCGCTCGAGTGTTAAGGATATGATTATTTACAACTTTTATATAAAAAGTTTTTGTCTAAAATAGATTATAATGGAATTAGGGATCATTTTTATAGCTGAATTTTTTTTTTCGAAATACGTCTATAGTATGTACGCAGATTATCTTCACAAGAGGAAAAACTTTTTTATTACTGACATTTTGAGAAAAACGCATTCTTCATAAAAATTTTTTGCTTGTTCTAAAATGGTTAATCCTAAATACTTCCCATCCAAATTTCCATAGCGTTTTAGAGAAAATGAAGAGAAACATGAAAATATGGTGGAATTTAAAAAAAAAGCATATCTTATATCTTAAAAATATTTCTATACTAGAAAAATAAAGTTAGAATAAAGATACGGGGCTAAGGAATTAGATATTTAGTATCTTCTTCTTCTCGTCCGTTAACTCTCGAAAGATATGGTGACATCATGTCTTAATAGGTTTGTCAACAAAATTTTGTTTTCTACTGTAAATGATAAATTTGTGCGTATTGAAATGCCGTACAAAATTTGAAAGCTAATAGTAATATACTTTTCGAGTTATTCTTAATTCCGATTAGACCAACCCGTCGAGGTGGAAAAACGCTGTGGAGCTCTTCGAAAAAAGTATAAGTAAATAAAATACTATTTTTTCATATAGAAAAATACTAAAAATTTTAAATTAAAATGGGTTTTAAAATAGTGGATTAAAAAAATAATATCCTTTTAATAAATGTTAAAAATTAATAAAAATGAAATTAATTTTAAAGAGTGTCTTCCCAGAATTCACACCACGATACGATGTAAATCTGTACTGCTCAATGATTGACTCTTCCTATATTGATGTATACGAAACTATAATTAGATCTCTATCTACATACATCAAAACCTTTCAGTTAGTTAATTTCGCATGGAGAGCGAGTATGCTTAACCTACCCCGTCATAGCATCTCTTGATCGAGTGAAAAGGATCAAAGGAAGCTGTATGAAATGCAATCCGCAACCAAACCGGCAAATAATCTAAGTTCTAATAATTACGGGGGAATAGGCTTCGAATGGTAATTATGAAAGTGTATGTAATATAGATATTCAAGATTTTTATCTCATTCTATCAGTAAATTGGAACATTATTTATATATGAGCAAAACTCAGATATATACAAGATATATATCTGATTTGTTTTTTTTTAATTAAAAATATTGAATCTTCCTTCCTTATTTATATTTGAATCCGTTTGCCTAATACGTAAACATGTATCAGCTTCTGAAGAAAAGCCATCTCACACTTATCCACTCAGGAACGCGGAGCAAAATCTTTATCTACCTACCCCACGCTCAGAGTTAGTTAAAAGTTCAATATTATACAACTCGAAAAAAATGCACAATCACCTGCCATTTGAAATCAAATCCATAACATCATTTTTTTCATTTCGCAAAGCATTGAACTCTTATTTACTAGACAAGGTTTTCTACGCCGTAAATGAATTATATTTTGAAAATCAAATTTGATCTTGTAAACACTGGTCTAATATTTGCTATTGCTATATTTACTAATGACATCGAAATGAATTTATTTAGAGGTCATTGATATTTTACTATAAACTAGCTAAATATTTTTGAATATTATTTTTATTGTTTTTATTCTTTGACATTATAAACATTTATGAATGTTTATTTTAACAATAAGACTGACAATATTATTTGTATAATGTTTTGTATTATCTTTTGTTTGTTTCTGAGATACTTTCCTGAGGAAATAACAGCTATTGAAGGAGTAGATAAAACATACTTAGATGCAAAAAAACGCAACGGAGAAATTTTTAGTGAGGTTTAAAGTGTTATATTTTTGTTATTTTTAATCCTATTTTCATTAATTTTTTAGCAAACTGTATATAATTATATCAACTTTAATTTGTAAACTAAGTTTTTTATAAACTTTAGTATTTGGCATATTATACAGGTTTAATCGAGGGATTGTTTTTTACCCTACTTTTAAAACACCCTGTGCAATAATTTCGTGTGTAAATTTTCCTCAAATATAATTTTACCATCAGAACGATGACTCCTGAGCATTTAGTTTTTTGTTTTATGTCAATACATGCTTTGGCTAATTTTGAAGAGCGAAATGAACTGATCACGATCAATTTGCAATTTTTTCAATTATCATTACATTTTGATGTAATTTTTTAATATGTCGAGATGGTTTTGGTGGCTATTGTCGTAACGGCATATTACGCTGCTATATACTCTATACTACACTTAAAAAGAAACGTTTAAAGACTAACGATACAGTCCTGGTTTTAATAAACATTCATAACGATAACAGAACTAACGATATTAAAGCAAACATCTGTAATACTCAAAAGTATACAAACATAAAAAAAATGTTAAAAAACACCCTAATACTTTGTATTGCCTCCCTTAGCTGCTATAACTGCCTGTATACGTCCGTTTATTCTGTCATTGAGGCTGCATACCTATATCATATTGCGAAGAACCAAACGAAGTTTATATAATGAAGCTGGTACCGCTTCGGGACCCCTAAACCTCCTGCCAAGCATTTCCCAAATGTCAGACATGATAGGCAGTCATAGTAGTATATAGTTCACAATAATCACCAAAGCCGCTTTGTCATATTGAAAAAAACCTTCAAAAAGAAATGATAATTGAAAAAATTGTTAGTGGCAAGTTCATTTCGCTCTTAAAAATTAACCAAAGCATGTATTGACATGATCCAAAAAACAAAATGGTCAGGAGACATGGTTCTGACCGTAAAATTATATTTTAGGAAAATTTACAGATGAAATTCTTGCACAGGGTGTTTTAAAGTTAAGGTAAAAAACATCCCCTCGATTAACCCTGTATAATATGCCAAATACTAAAATTTATAAAAACCTGAGTTTACGAATTAAAGTTGATATGATTATATACAGTTTGCTGAAAAAAATCATAAAAATGGGACTAAAAATAACAAAAATATAACACTAAAAACAAATATAACCATTTTTCTTGAAATTTGGCACATTTTCACACATTCTAATGCCGGCATTAGCCGATAGTGTAAAATTCGTTACAGTTCTGGTAGGGTACTTTCGTAAGGCTAGAGGGTAGTTTCTCATATTTTTTATCTTATAACTATCGCATTAACACACACCAACATCAGAATAACAGACAAAAAATAAATAATATGCCTGGAAACTAAATTCTACAGCGACCTATATAAAGCCGCAGAAAACACACATCAAGAAGAAAGACTGTCCCTACCACAAGACGACGCGACGCATCAGAAATTCTCGTAGGAGAAGTATAAAAAAGCTCTTCAAGATATGACAAATGAAAGTTAGTTAGTTAGCAGCAGGGAATGACGGAATAACACCTGAACTACTTAAGTATACGCCGCCGTCGGCGCCGGATTGGTTTGGTTTGGTTTGGAAAGCTTGGAAAATCTTAGTAAATATACTGTAACGTTTTTAGTTCGTAACATGTCTTTTTTATATATAATATATGATGTCTGGCCTATCATCACCGGATTCCCTCTCGTTCAGGCCGGATAGTTTATTTGACGCGTAATTTTTACGTTCCCTAGTCGCCAACCCTGTTATCGTTCCACACAACCCTGTTATCGCTCTGAGGAGGCGCTGTCAACATCGCTTCTGTCAACTCTCTCCGTGCTTAATCTCACTTTGTTTTGACGCTCTGTCGTATACCAGCTTTTAGAAATGGTGGTTATTTAAATCTTGCTGTATAATTTGAATCAGCTGCTATTTCGAGGCTACAAGTAAAGATGAGGTATTACCTTTTATAGATCCGATATTATTATTGAATATTTTTACGGTAGAGTTACGGATGTCCCAACTTGTATTTGTATTTTGCTGGCACGGTGGCGTCCCTTTTCTTTTGTCCTCCAGAATGTTACATGGAAGAAAGGACAGGTTGTTTATTATTTATTGAGCCCTCGGAAGTATTTCGAGGTAGGATTATTTTATTTATTAGACCTTGTTTGGTTTTAAACAAGAGTTTCATATTTTTAGGGTCCAAGGTACGGACTGTGTCCAAGGTACGGGTAGTGTCTTATGTACGGACATTATCTTATGTACGGATGTCCTGTGGACGAGTGTCTCCAGTAAGAATGATCTTACATATAAGTGCCACACAGC